TTAAAACGAAGATTTAACCAAAGCAAACGAGCCTATGATTTTATTCTTCCCCCTATGTGATTATTACTCCCCCAATTCCTTCAATTATGCAAGCAATTAACCCGGATTATTAACCTGAGATGTTAAATTAATCATAACCCGCTTCCGCGTGTATTACGATTCTAATACTCTAGATTCAATTACTATATGCATATGCAATTAATTATAGAACACAACATTAAACACAAATCTCAATAATGACTACCTAAGAGATTAACTATATTCCTATGATAATACCACACAAGCTCTTCTACCACAGTTCTAATTATTAACCCGATCTTCCGATTCATACGAGTAACAATAACATAAAAGCACATAAGGTGATCAAATTCATGCACTTGATAAAACAAGTAGGAGAAATAATCCGGAATTAAAACTTGCATAAAATCATAGAATTGGGTTCATAAATCCCACATAGGGTTCCAAATAAAATCCTAGAAATAAAAACTTAGCTACTCGTGATTCTTATGACAAAGAAAATAAAATAAATTAAATAAGAAAAACTATGCTTGAGTCTTCATTGATCTTCGTTCCTCGCGTTTTGTGGTGTATAATTTCGTACTTATGGTGTAGGGACTTGTTGCTTTTATATGTTTTTCTTGATAATGAAGTAGTAGAAACCTAATAGGAATCAATTTCCGCCACTTTCCTCCATCAGGATTTGTTCTTCGATTTTCGCCATGTTGGAGTCCGAATTTTGCAATGTGCGTAAATAAGAATTGTAGCCCTTGAAATTAGCTTTCCAATGCCGCCAAAATCAGCTGATTTGGAGTTCGTATGAAAGAGATATGCTCGAAATGGTGGACACTGCCAAAGCTGTGGCGAGATTTCTTCTTCCAATTCGATTTATTTCCTTATTTGCAATTTTTTTCCTTTCTTTTTGATCTTTTTTTCCTTCATGGACACCTAATTCTCGTTTTCACCTATAAAACACAAAATCAATCAATTAAAAGCACAAATATAATTAAATCTAAACAAAAGATCCACGTAAAGTAAACTTATTGAGCGTAAAATTTACACTCAACACACCCCCAAACTTGAATTTTTGCTTGTCCTCAAGCAAAATCTAATCGTAAGCAAATAACTCAACTACCGCATCTCATCACATAGATTAATGATCAACTTCACGTATTATGAGTAGATTTACAGTTCAAATCCATCCCAATGTAAATAACCGGTTTAAATCACGACTATTTGAAATGCAAAATGGTGACCCAAATAATTCATACCCAAATGATTCCATAGTCTTAGGTGGAAATGAATTCAAAGTTTCAAACTACATTTCGTGGTTAGAACCATTTATTAATTTTTGATGACCTAATTGTTTTTCGTCAAATCACATGTATAAAAAAGTTTATATATCTTACATTCTAATGAATTTTTACTTTTATTTTTATTATTATTTTTATTTTTTTAATATTATTTCCTCTTTTATTATGCTGTTTGGGTGCCGGTGGGGTTCACTTTTATCCAGTATCGTCATCTGCGGTTTCTTGGATTCAATACAAATTTTCACATTTCCATTAGAAAGTAATAAAATACAAATTTATTTTCTCCCAAAAACAAAAACAATTTAGATGTTCCAGTTGAATCTAAATTATTAATTTCTTACTTGTTTTTAATTGGGGTAAAAGTTGGAACGTAATTTCTAATTTCCGCCGGTTTTGATCCGGAAATGTTTGATTTTGGAACAATTTTTATTTATTTCGATTTTGGATAATTTTCAAATTTTTGAATTGGAATTAGAATTACATAAAAAATATTTGGAATTTCCAATTAGATTTAATATCCGAAATTATATCCGAAAATTCAGTTTTTTTTTCCCAATAATATATATATATATATATATATATATATATATATATATATATATATATATATATATATATATATATATATATATATATATATATATATATATATATATATATATATATATATGTATAAATATATATATATATATATATATATATATATAGATATATATATGTATATATATATATATATATCACTCAACACAGGTAGAGCGAAAAGATTCACATATGCATATATATATATATATATATCTGAGCACTTTGATAAAAATATATACATACATGGTTCAAAGGGGGTGTCTAACTCCCCGTGTTTGAGATTTTAAAAAATATAATATTCATATTTTATTTTATATGGGTGTTGTTACGTAAGCCACATCGATATAAAAATTTAATGATTT